CCTAGTTCAACCTTCAAATTACACGAATTTCAAGTAAACGAGCTTAACAAATTTGCGCAAAAGTTTCACTGTATTCAAATGTTTTATTTATATTGTGCAACATAAACACGGACCGTACAACAATTCAAAAAGTAATTGCACGGGAATATCCGATGTTGAAAGGGCGAAATATACTGCTTTCTTGAAAAGAAGAGCATTCTCGAGACCTTGTGATCTTGATATTTTATATACCTCAGTATTCAATAATTTAATTATTTTTAAATTAATTTATTTCCTTTCATACTTTCATTCGAAATATCCAGGAGAAGTCGAAAAAAAAAGACTCTGGACAATCCGTCCTATCTATTTCATACATTGATGTTTTACTACAGACAGCCATTGGTGGCAAAGTATCAGTAATGTAATGGCTTCACCTTTTCTTTTGTCCACTTCTTTTATTTATGCTGCACTATTGTCACCTGAATATAATGTCTAGGTCTTACTTGCAGTTGTTCGATATGCTAGAGAATTCTCCCCGCACAAACAGTTACAAATCTAAGACAGTTTATTAACAAATAAGCTACAAGTATATCAACATTTTTTCTGTAATTAACATCCTTGTACGAAAGGAACTTCTTTTCTTTTGTTATTTAGTAGGCTTGTCTTTAGTTCATGCACCCAGCCTAAGATTTAAGCCGAAATTGTTACTCAACAAAATCATTTATAATCACTTTTTTGGACACGAAAAAAAAGTAATCTGTTTTTAAAAATTTTTAATTTACACTGCTCTTAACTGTTTGCATACTTTTTGAGAACTATTGTACTTGAAAGGAGAATTCGAACAATTAAAGGTATTTTTCATGTATAGCATGTATTGTACAGGAATTATCATCAGGTCGATGTTTTCATGAGTACCTGTTATTTTGACCTATTTGAGACATTTAGTAATACTTGTATTCACCTGTACGAAGAAAATACCGACAATTAGCCGTATGGTTACACAATCTGTATTCATGTTTCATTTCTTAATGAACATGCAGAGAAACACTCGATGAAAAAGAACATGGAATGAATTTGCAGTTTTAGTTACTCACCGTACGTTGAACTTTAGATTATCAACGCAGGTGACCTTATAGGAGGTTAAAAAGAATCAGAATTATTTATCTGGTTTAAGAAGATTTTTTCTGTAAAATGAAATTTGAAGATTTAGATCAGTAATCAAGCTCACCAAGCCATTTAAACAATTGAAATAGTGGGCAGAGTAAACACAGGTCTCTAAAACTCGATCCCAGTGATGGGATCAGGTCCCATTGAGAAGTAAGCATCACCTGTGCTACTTGTCATGTATCGATCATAACGTTATGAAATGTTAAACTGACTTTGAGTATAAATAACACAAACACACTTTTTGCGAAATCAGCAATATTTCTCATAGATTTACTTTTAAATTGGTAACCTGAATAATGTTTATCAAGTATAGTGGGAGAATTTTATAAGAATTTGTCATAACTTTAAAAATTTGTGTAAATTTTTGTATGGAATTATACAGAGAGCAAAACAAAGTTTCCTATCTAAGCAACAAAGAAAACCTAAGATTTCATTATATTTGGGATTTATTACTTATGTTTTTTCAATCAAAATCAGACAAAAAATACATATCAGTCCAAGCATCAAATTTTATTCAAAGTAGAACCACTCTTGTGTATCGTATCAACTTGGAGACATAAACTGCACATGCAGTAGGAAGGAGAACATTGATACACAAATGAAAAAAATTGGCGATAGGAAAGATGAGTTCATCACGTTTATCATTACGTTTTGTTGTCACCGTCAACTTATATTGTAAATTTTAAAAAGTGGTTCTGTTGATTGTGTACTTAGAGGAGAGGCGTGAATACGCAAAAGCTTTTAGATTTGTCAGAAGTGCAGTTAATATAAATAAACAGTCAAGAACTTTCATATAAATTAAAATACTGTAAAATCATATTTTCGAGGGGTCAAATTTTCGTGGATTGAGGAAAATATATTGGTTCATGCTGATTTGATTTCTTGGTTGAAAAATTATTCAGTAGTAATACATATATCTGAAAAATTGCATTCGTGGTGGATATAAATTCGTGGGTCTTTTCATACCCCAAAACCACAAAAATTAATGATTTCACAGTATGTATGCAAAAAAAAATTTAATCAAGATAACTATACTTAATCTAACACCAAACCCCGGATGTTTTAAACATTAATTTATTTATCTCTAAATTTTTTCAATATCTCGTCTAAAAAAGTAAGAATTGCTATCGGCATTAATCAGAGACATGCTAAAAAGTCATCAAAAAGAAATATCAGTTCTTATTAGAACGTGAAAAATCTCAGCCAACTAGTTTCCAAATATATCAAATCAGTTATCAATATTTTTAACGAAAAGAAAGAAAGAAAAACAAAAAATTCAATTCAAAAAAATCTATCTCCATTCCATTCGATTTTTAAAAGTGTCACAGATGAAAATGTACCATCGGACATTTCGACAATTACTTTGGATATTTTCAAGTTCAATTTTCTCACATCTGTTCTTAATTAATTGAGTTGTCATATTTTCTTCAATCTGTCAGTTTTATCTATTTTTAAATTTTTAATTATCTTAATTAGCCATGAGTGATATGACCAGATGGACTGTGCTTTGTGTGACTTAATTATTGTTTATTTAAAATCATAATCTTTAACTCTATTTGTAAATCAAATTAACTCATGTCATATATTACTCAAACTTGTCAATTATCAACCATGTCTATAAATACAAATTTTTGTTAACATTCAGGGAGTTGGAATCGGGACGCGCTTGTCCCTGATACTGTCCGACCCGACGAGAAATAAAGGTCTGCAGATCGTAAAGCGGTTTTATCTTCATTTACCCATTAGTCCACCCTAGTGGCTTTCAAGCCCACCCATCTAACGCGAGGGTGTGATAAGTGGTGGAGAATCCGGGCACGACCCCCTCTCACAGCCAAGCGAGTTCTACCATTTGATTCCCCTACCTTATACGAGAACTCCCCTAATTCAGAAAAATCGTCTTTAATTTCGTACACGCCGCTATGAATCGCAGCCTTGGACCACAACGGAGACCTGCGGATTATTCCGTTCAGCGTCAATTTCCAGTTTGTGGCTGATGTGGAATTGTCCATGGACCCAGTTGCCGTGCTCAAATGGAGAAGTGTTACATCTGTTTCAGGGTCGGAATAGTGTTGTCTCTTTCCTGGAGTTTCACTTTATTTTCTTTCCATTCTTCTCGGACGTTAGCACTAATCGAATCAACCAATTGTTTGTGAGATGAGTTTTCAAGCCGTAGAGTCTGACTTTCTTGCTGTAACTTTGAAATGATAAGTTTATCTTCAGCGATATTGCAGATAGATGAGTTTAATTCAGAAGGCTGTATCGTTGAAAGTTTATTGAAATTTTCTTCACATTTATTGCGTCAGCATACATTATTCCCATTTCTTTCACTTTGAAACGTAACTGTTGAATTCCCGCTTTAAGTCCATAATGGATGTTTAGGGTGTCCTGGAACGCTGTATTCCTTAGATTATAAAAAGGCAGTTCGCGGAGATGAGATTTGCTTTCCAAGTATTTCTCCATACGAACTTTGTCTCTGGACTTTCGTCTACCGGAACGTTGCTCTTGGATTGGTGCACTAGTATTTGCCATCATGATCATCCTCACAGGGGAAGAGAGGACAGTTCTGCACATTCTAGCATAGTGACCATGACGCTTACATCTGTAACACTTCTCCATTTGAGCACGGCAACTGGGCCCATGGACAATTCCACATCAGCCACAAACTGGAAATTGACGCTGAACGGAATAATCCGCAAGTCTCCGTTGTGGTCCAAGGTTGCGATTCATAGCGGCGTGTACAAAATTAAAGATGCTTTTTTTCTGAATTAGGGGAATTCTCGTAGAAGGTAGGGGAATCAAATGGTAGAACTCGCTTGGCTGTGAGAGGGGGTCGTGGCCGGTTATCTGCACCACTTATCACACCCTCGCGGAAGATGCGTGGGCTTGTCGGAAAGCCACTAGGGTGGACTATTGGTAAATAAGATAAAGCCGCTTTACGATTTGCAGACCTTTATTTCTCGTTGGGTCGGACAGTATCAGGGACAAGCGCGTCCCGATTCCAACTCTCCGAATGTTAATAAAAATTTGTATTTATAGACATATTGATGACAAGTTTGAGTAACATATATATGACATGAGTTAATTTGATTTACAAATAGAGTTGAAGATTATGATTTTAAATAAACAATAATTAAGTCACACAAAGCACAGTCCATCTGGTCATATCACTCATGGCTAATTAAGATAATTAGACATGTTAAAGTAGATACATCTGACAGATTTAAGTAATTATGACAACTCAATTAATTAAAAACAGATGCGAGAATTTTGAATTGAAAATATCCAAATTAATTGTCAAAATGTCCGATGGTACATTTTCATCTGTGACAAAAGGATTAACATTTAATCTTTAAAAGATAAATACTTTGCTCTCTCTCTCTCTCTCTCTCTCTCTCTCTCTCTCTCTGTTTTAAGTGTGTGTATGAGGGAAGGTGTGTGAAGAGATGGGATGCAATTTTTTTTAATATCAATAAGTTATACTTGCGGGGATGTTGATAATTTCTTTGTTACAATCTTTTGATTAAAGATTTCTTTATGTATTATTGTGTTTATATTGTTTTCCGGAAAAAAAAATGCTTATGTAATAGTTGGTGATTTCAATTGACGTGGAACCAAATTCTTATGAAATGAAGATCTGCCACCAACAAAAAAAGCATTGATCAATTATTAGGGTATATTAAAAAAAGGATAAACACCCTTCCCTTTAAATTGCGGGAGTAACAATCCTTTGTCAATTATTGTTTTACTTCTGATGAAAAAAAAAATAATAACAAACCAAAGATGTGCAAATGTATAAAAGCTTGAGAATTAGCTGGCTTGTGTTTTTATGGTAAAAATCTTGATTATTTTTCCAGAGGGATGAACTGGAGTGGAGGTGCTATGACTTTACATTTGTACGAGTATCTGAGGAAGCAGACAGCAAACTACAGCCGTAATACTAGCGATCATGAATGGATCGGTGACTTCGGAACAGACACATTCCTCAGGAATTCCAGGATATTTTATTCTTACTTTACGCCTGTTATTCTCATTGTGGGATTTGTAGGCAATCTATTATCGCTCTACGTATTCTTATCCAGGAATATGAGGGGACTCTCCGCTAGCACGTACCTAGCGGCGTTGTCGACGTCAGATCTTTTGACGTTGATATTTTACGTTACTGTGGAATGGCTAAGGAGAGGGCTGATGTATTTGAAGACGGATATTACGCTCACATTTATTGACGTCGATGGGCCGTGCCAATTTCAGCTGTATATGTCCTATATGTCCCGATTCCTCTCAGCCTGGTTGGTGGTCGCCTTTACGGGAGAGAGATATATTGGGGTGTGTCATCCTCTACGGAGACGGGACATTTGTACAAAAAGTGGAACACGACGAATAGTGGGTTCAATATTTGTGATTTCTGCAGTAGTTGTGTTATATAAGCCAGTTCTGAGTGCTATATATGTAAGCTCAGACGGTAGGCACTACTGTACCACAGACAGAGACTATGATTTTGTGTCTTTTATTTTGGATAGCATTTATGCTGTGTTGATTACTCTCGTTCCATTTATTATCATTACAGTATTAAATATTTTAATCATGCGCAGACTTATCATCAGAAACAAACGTAAGCGAGAATGTAAAATTGTTACGGAAGAAAGCATCATTAGGCTAGAATTCACAATTATCTTGTTAGCAATCTCATTTTGTTTTATTGGTCTAAACATTCCATTCTTTGCCGTGTGGTTTCGAAATTTCCTTCATTCCAAATACATATCTAGTGTTGGGGTTCTTGAACACTACTCGGCGGACTTTGAATTCTGGCAAGGCGTGCTTTACATTACAAGGACTATCTTCTACATAAACTACTGCATCAACTTCTTCCTTTACAGCATTACTGGGGCTTACTTTCGCAGGGAAGTCAAAATGTTGTTCACGTATCATTCGTTGAAGAGAGACTCCTCTTATAGCAGGTGCTCGTTACGGAACTCTCGCTCTAATTCCCAGACTCCGCAGTCTTATCTGTGAATCAGTTAGAACATCCAAAGTCCACTTCATCGAATACTATACAAATTAATTTCAGAAGGAAATTATTTCTTCTATGACAAGGCTTCTTAACTTGAAGGGTAAATGTCGGACACATTTACTATTTCAACACAGCGGGGATCCTCGTGTTCTTGTTTTCCGAGGACTTCTGATTAGAAGATAACTCCAGAATTAAGCCGATTCCTGGCATCTTTGACAAGAATAACTGATATTATTAATGAAAAATAGGTAACTGTTACGAGTTTCACTGACATAGTGCAAAAAGTTCATATAATCAAGGACATGCTTGATAAATACTTAATTTTGGTGGAAATATTATTTTACGCCTTTCAAGGCAGCTAAAAGTGTTTTAATTTAAGTTCACGCTAATATGTAATTAAAGCTAATACAGTGGGACGCTTGTTCGAGCAAAGCACTGTTGACTATAATACGCTAATTGGTTGTTGAAATTTTGTGCTATTTTGTATACGTTTAAAGATGTATCAGCTTTTAATAAACATATTCCAAATTTTCCTTATAATTATTTCAATGAAATATATTTTGAACATATTTATTTCTTCCTATAATGTATAGAATTCTAACTTCTCTATTGATGTAATTGTTTTTCATGCTCTCTTCTATAGCATGAAAAGCAACTGTGCATATTTACTAATTTTTTTTATCATGAAAGTTATATACTAGTATACAACGACTATTATACTTTCGCATCTTTAAGTGAAATAAATATTCCGAGATTAACTTGTTGTATTCTTACTTCTTTGTTATTTCGGTATAGGGGATATAAAGGACCCTTTAAGTTCAGTTAGAGTTTCCTTTTAGGTATAGTAAGAATTACTTTGGCTATTGTCACTGTCAAAACAAATTTAAGATCATGAAACTTCAACGTTGCGATCTTTTAAATCCTGATAATGGTATCATATGATATAGTTATTATAGATATTTCTATTCTGAATAAAAAGTAGGTTCATTAGTTTATCCAGGAGCATGAAATATAATCGAGATCAATGTATAATGTATCTAAAAAAAGCATTTTTTTCAAATAATAGCTAGAGTAAAACTTCCAGATATCTTATTAGTGCTTTACCAACGATGATAATGAAGATAAGCGAAAAACATCTGGGAAAATGTGAATGTTTTTTTTTTCATAGTGAACACCGTATTTGTCTGCATGGTTTAATTTGTCTGCGATGTTTTTAAAATCTTGATAACATTCATTTCATGACTTAAAACACATTAATTACATGATTTTATCAAACTGGGCTTAAATCATAACATTTATTATCGGTACCAAAACGAGGGTTTATTTTCTCACAGATGTGTTAAATAAAAATGAAGTTATATCTTGAAAAGTTGCATATCTACTCTTGACCATTTCCAAGGCAAAACACTAATCTACATATGGTATCCAATGGACTCACAATCAGAGTCACAGAAAAAATAGTCTGCAGATGAGAACCAAATGAAAGCTGAATTTATATCGAGAATCAAATCGTCTTATTTCTAATCCTCTTCATTATGCAGAAAACACGTTGCAATAATGAAAAAGATTAAGATAACGTATGTAGTAATCACTCTCCAGATGCTTAAACAACACAGATATGTGAGCAGGGTATAACCACGGACCCTTAGAAATTAAAGAGTTGGGATCGCGTGCCTAGGAGGAGTAAGCATCTACTAAAGCCTGGTTACGCCGACTAAAGCCCTTTGTATTGTTCTGAAAGACAAATTATTGCGTAATCGGATTTTATTTTTTAATTCCATTCTTATGTCGATACGATATATCTCGGTGAGCTTGAGATAAAAAAAATCCACAGATTCTTAACAAATCAGAATTCCCTTAAGCTTGTGGTTATAAAATCCACTTGTGACGTCACTCTTATGTTTAAGCAAACCATTGTTTTTCAGGAATGGAAAGATTACGGGCATACGGAGTTTATATATCTCAGTTGATTCGATATCCAAGAGCATGCTCCATACTTATGTCTAAATACTTATGTCTTTTACAATGTCTAAAACGAGGTAAGTTATTGACAAACAAGTTGATGGAACAAGAATATCAGCTGTCTCGTTTATACTCACCATTTCGTAAGTTCTATGGTCGATACAATGACCTTGTCAGCAAATACAATTTGTCATTGAATCAAATGCTGACTGGCGGTTTTCATACTAATTGTTAGTCCATTATTTACATACTGAATTGGCGACGGATCATTAAGTGAGCTCATCGCTCACAGTATCTCTAGTTTTATGGTTATTGTGGTAAAAGCGTGAACCACATACCTTCCGATACGGAGTGGAGGCTTCATTGTTTTACTGCAGAAACGACGCAAAATAAGGCGCACGAGATAGCCTAAACAGGTCTGAATGAATGTTTGTATTTTTTCGTATCACTTGTGATGTCCCTATTTACTCCATTTATTCAAGAACGTATATCAATTTTTATTTTTGGATGTCTGCACTAGCAGATATTTTTACAGCTGTTCCAGGAGCAGTACTGTGAAACGGATATATCCTCCTATATAAACGTACCTGATACTACGCTTATAAACCCCATATTAGTTATTTACTTTCTGAATAAGGCGAAGTTTATTCTATAAATTATAATAAAGAGTACTATGAATATGATGAAATTCTTGGTTTTACTTTTCTTAATTCTAAAAGAAAATAGCAAAGGTTTATATTTTGATTATTTAAAAAGTTATGTATTTAGTTTTATTTAACATGGATACCACGGTATTACATGTTATGTGAGATGACTATCTCAGTCTATCTTTTGTCCAACACGTTTGATAAATGGTCAATAATTAAAATACATGTATGTTCAAAACAAAACATTACATGTTATTTATGAACAAATTTGTCATGTTTCTAACTTTTTGGGTATTTCATGATCAACCATCGGTTTTAGGTTTTTAATAAATTCGGAACACGTGGAAAAGACTGATTAATAATTAAAATGATCAAACATACACCACTTCAAAGATCAAATATCAGCTTTCCCATGTGTCGTAAACATAGAATAATTAATCTACATAAAATCTTCCTTATACACACATTCATCAAATTAGCTTAAACTGTTGAAAAACAGTGACTAGTAGAGCCTTTGAGTATTATATAGAACATTATATTCATGCATTTCCTCATGTTCCTAATGTACAGAGACGCAAATATTATGAATAAATAATGTCTTCACTTTCACTTCCAAAACACTTTTGTAAAAGTCGAACACGGTCAATCGTAGCATAATGAACACATCATGCATCGTAATACATATAGAGGAAGCACTGTCTTCATTAATTATACATGATCCAACTTTGCTTCAAAGAAAACCTAATCCCTGCTTAAACTTAGAAATGAATTAAGTCCCAGCGTGCTAACGTAATTGGAACAAAAACTTTTTATTTAAATATCATTCAGGTTGTACATTTCTCAAGAGGTATTTTAAGAGCAGGAAAAATGCAATGCTAAATGAAAAAAAGCTAGCGCTAAGTTAATTGATTCCTAGTTGTTTAGAATGTTGATTTCTCTTTCATTTATATTAATATGATTATAATATTCATATTTATGTTCAAGCTTCAGATAAGACAAAAACAATAGCTAGAATCATAAAAGTTAATACACCAAAAGTATGAGACTTTTCCACTAAGCATTAATATGACCTCTACACTGTATCTTTGTTTTTTTTTTTATTGAATATAAATAAGGCATTTCCTTAACAATAATTGCCTCATAGTTTATCTAGCTGTTTTCAATCGTTCTCTGAAATATAATGACAGAACAATAATTAATTATTATTTGATATTAAAAGAAATGTTATGTTTTCAGCATTATTGGCCCTCATGGTACTAAACTATTGACAGACTTGTAAACACTATAACAAAGGAATAAATTGCATATATCAAAGGATGTTTCCAAAGTGCAGCCTATTCAAAGGGGATTATAAACGAGAAGATGCATTTCATTATGTTATCGTTCAATAAGCAATTTCCAAAGCATGGGAAAGAAAAAAAAAACAACTGTGACCTTTAATGATAAACTGATAATATAACGAGCACCGCGCACAACTATTAGACTAAGATCAATAATCACAAAGAGTTTACAAAGTTGGTCAAGGTCTTTCGAACCCGATACGAGCATTGTGTGAAAATGTTTCTCTATGAGTGATTAAATTTTATTTCAATATTCTTTTCAATAACCAAGTGCATGCTGGGAGAACGAACAATTTCTAAACGTAGACACTCTACACACAGATAAATTGATGTTACAGGGAATTTAATAATCCTCTTTGTAGTCAGCATTTCATATCTCCTATGGTGGGTAATATGACCTTGTTAGCTAAACTTTTACTAGGTCGTATTTTAGATATTTTCTTTCACGTCCGGTTTTAGGCCTTTATTTTATATTGAATTTGACAACTGAATGTTCCATCCACCTGATCAATGCATTCGGTCACTGCAAATGTTATGAGTCAACAGGGGGTGCTTACTCCTCCAAGGCACCTGATCCCACATCTGGGATTATATGGTGTCCATGTTTATGCCCTATGAACATATTCGTATTGGTTTAAAGTTTTTTTTGTCTTAAATCGATTGCTGTTCGTTATCTTCCCCCTTTTTATTATTTCCTTTGAGACCAAAATACAGTAAAACTCGGTCATAATAACTTATATATCCGTGAATTCGCAATAATCGGTTTCTCACGAAACGAGTTTTACTGTATCTATGCATGAAATATCAGGGTCTGTTTCACAAAATATCATTTATACTTTATATATTAAATCAACCCACAAAATAATCTAGTTTTATTATCACATGTGTATATTGTAAGGCCTAATGTCAAATTAAAACAATATTTACGAACATTTGGAGAAAAGGGGCAGAACAAATAGCCTTTATCATATTGAAATTAACATCATTTATCAGAAAGAAAGGCATAAAGGCAACCGATGGACTTTTATGTTACTTTTATAGTCTCCAAATATGGTCATAAAATTCTTACACTTTTGTCTACGTAATTGAGCTCTATCTACCATGGTATAAGAGCTGAAATGACGTTAAGATGTACATGCTTCTTGACTCAGTATCTTATGCTCCGATTCTGCACAGTAAATTAACATATGCATTACATTGCATTAAACTTGAGATAGGAGAGATTTAGCTGGATCATGATTACAATCAAAAGACCTATGGTGTGTATAGGTGTTTTATGAAACATGAAATTGATTGATTGATGTTTTCTTTGGTACTCTGTCATTGTTTCGGAGAAAAAGACCAGTAATCAATGTGTAATATATGGGTTTTTTTTAAAGTTTCTGAATTATTTAAGATGGAAGGATGAAGAGGTTTTCTTAATTTTTCCTCTAACGGCCTTAATTAAATAAATGCAAGAAAAGGGGGTGAAAAGGAATTTTCATTTAAAATTGAAAAAGGGTCCTTCCTCAAACTATACAACTGTATAGTGTATTTATTGAAATTACAGGTTGGGGATCGAGTGCCTAGGAGGAGGAACCATCTACTGAAGTCCGGTCACGCCAACTGTAAAGCCCTTTGTATTGTTCAGGAAGACGGATGATTTTGTAATTGAATTTTTAC